AAATCTTTAATAGTGGGCCAATCATATAGTGCTGAACTATGATAGTTAATCATTTGGTATCTAACACCCCAGTATCCGAATTATATAATACCAGCCGCAATCGTTCCCAAGAGTATGATAGGATAATCAACCTTGATAAAATTAACTATATAATTAAATGAATGACTTAATAACTTAACGAATAAAAAAGTTTAAAGAGTACCTGATTAGGTGAAAATATCGCTAAAACATCCCCACATTTAAATCCTAGCTTATCTTGCAACCCTGCAGCAAACTTTTTCGATTCACGTTTAAATTCACCAAAAGTATAACTTTTACTAGTAAGTCCGTCCACGTAAATAACCTTATCGTCTGGAATTTTGTTTGGATTACTAGTCACATATTGATAAATTCTGACTTGAGGAATCTTTATATCTGGAAATTTAGATTTAAAGATCATTTTTACAATCAGTCAGATTGAGTTCATGTCGTTTATATGCATGATTATAGATGCATGCCAAGGAAATTGCTTGATTAATTATTTTAATTTCCTTTTTGCAAACTTTTATAGGCAATCACCAAAATTCCGGGTCGGAATGCATCGGAGCTAGGTCGGCATTTATCAATATTAACTAGTAAAATCTATAGCAAAATTATCAGCTGGGCATTTTTTACTTAATGAGCGGCTATGATTTCATTAGTATAAATTTTAGTGATCTTTGCAAATCCGTCCCTGCCGACTAGGATTCCAATGCATTCCGATGAACTATTTAAGGATTACCATTACAAAATCAAATCCGGATATAAACCCAAATCATAATGTCAGAATGGCACTGGCTGCGAAGCAACAGGTAGTGATTTGAACCAAGAAAATTTCCTTAATCAGTTAACCAAACCGAATTATTTCATTAAACCGATTGCCAACTGGTTAAGATTAACTATCTACTATCATCGGAAATTCTCGGAGCTTTACTCTCTTGTCTTTTATGTTTATTCATTTTCTTTTCAGAACTTTTCGGACCCTTTACTCTCTTTTTACATCATTTTATATTATATCAATTCTGACAACTGATTACTCAATTCTCAACTGGTTGTATCAGATCAACCAATTAAGAATTTTCTCAACCAGTTAATTGAAAATTATTTAGTTTAGATCAATTAACCAATTATAGCCCAACCAATTCAAATCACTACTTGTAATCTAGTTGCATACTTACTTCTGTTTACTAACTCTGTTTTGTCAAAGTAAACTGAAGTTATTCTGTATATACTCCCTTTCTCAAAAATATATCATTTAATTTTTTTGTAATGCCTTAAATCTTTTTTGATTCCAACATGTAATTTGTATATAGGTTGCTTTGGATTTCTTAATTTTTTATTACTCTTCTTTCTATTTTAGAATTCTTGCTTTATTATAGAAGTTAAGGCATCTTTTTACTTTGTTAAATCAAGTATCTTTTGATAAATCCTATAAAGTTAATCTATATTCTAGTTTTTGATTCTTAGTTTTTTCTGTTTTATTAAAATTTTGAGCACTTCTTTTTTTTGTAATTCCTCCTTTGGCCTAGTTTTTAGAGTTTAAATTGCATTGTTGATATTTTTAGATGCCCATCTGATCTATATATATCTTCTTAAATAATAATAATAATATTTTTTTTCTTTCTTAAGAGAGACTACAATTATTCTTTTATTATATCTTAATAAAATAAAATTTTTAGTCTTTCTTGTTCTATAATTATGTATTTTATACTCTGTATAAAATAGATTTGTTTTATCTTTTACTTTTATTTTCAAAGCTTTTGAGAATTTTTTTTTTGACTTATTTAAGATTGCTTCTGTAACTTTATCTGAATTATTATCTTGATGTTTAAGTTCTAAACCTTCTTTATTTTTTTTTTATTTTTATTTAAATCTGTATATTTTTTGTGTTAGTTTATTGAAAACTAGTTGTGTGATGGGTTTTTTAATTTTTATCTTTATTTGCTAAATAGTAGCTTTTCATTTTCAACTTTGGGTATACTATTGTAATTTTGTCTTTTTCTTGTAACCTTTTTATAATTAAATTTCTAAACTCAATCCTATTTGTTTTTGTATCTACTTCTATTAGTTCTTGATTTTCTGCATTTAGTTTATTATCATTTAAAAACTTTTAGAATGCTGTTTTATAATTGTCTAATACTATTTAAATAAATGATATAAATTCTGTATTTTTTGCTTTCAAATAATTTGCTATACATTTGTCTGTTTGAGTATAAATCTTTTTTGTAATTCACATATCTCTTGTTTTTTCTCTAATAGTTTTGAAAAGTTACCCTTGATTATCTTTAGACTTGTCATAATTTTATTATTTAATTTTTTATAAAAGTATCTCTTAAGATTGATATAAAATCTATATTTGTTGCAGTAAATTTTAGTATAATTTTCTAAAATAATCTTTAACTTTTAGTTAATAATAGATATATGATTTATTTATTTATTTGTTATTTTTTATTATGTCTAAAATTAATAATATGATCTGCTATTTATTTGTTTATTTATTTAATCTTATGTGTTTGTTGTTTTGTAGTTGTTTATATATTTCTAAGATCAAATTTTCAGTAGAGTTGTAGTTATGGTTTTCAGAGTATACCCTATTATATAATTATATTATTAGTCACCTGATTTGTCACAAAATTTATATATAGAGTGTTTTTTATATATATAATTATAGCAAAACATATAGAATTATATATAAACTTTGTTGCGATAAACGCGGAGGACCAGGCTAATGATGATCAGACCAAATGTACATGGCAGACTATGAAACCCTTCGCAGCTGTGAGAACTGAGCTTAAAATGATAAGCGTATCTACAGAAGGATATTCATCCAAATCATTACTAATATCATCCAACTCCTATAATTTGGAAATATGCTATAACAAATTTCTTACTTATTATCAACTTCCTTTATTAAGCAAACCACAAACTGTTAATTCTTTTTTACAACATTTACGACAAACAATATTAACTATTTAGTAGATTATGCTTTTATAAAAGTGAAGCACATGTGTACTTACTACATGAATACAATATACTACCAAACTACTATATTCTATCTGCCAATGATTCACATAATATTCCTCTTAAATCACAATTCAACACACCTATCTTTACATCTACCTATTCTCCATCAGTAGCTTCTGAATCAAGTTCTAATGAACTTGAGTCTCTAC